AACTGTTGAGGGCATGAGAGAGGTGACGGGTATGGTTTCAACTGGGAAATGTAGAAAGGTGGATGAGGTGTTATAAAAAGCTGGCAAATTGATATTTAGTGTGAATGACAGATAAGTCTGAAGTAGAGTCGATGGAACTTGTTTGTGGACAAAAGGGACAAAGACAAAGAACTCCTAGATTTCTGGCACTTGCAACCCACTTAACAGTGAGGATATCAGCATTTGGCAGATTTGACTGTTTTCTCCTTCTAAAAACATTCTTGTCACTTAATAATCTAGTGCTTTCCATATAATATACAATCCTGCCCCATCCAACAGCCCATTCATTTATGTACTGTTTTGTCAGAATCCAAAACAGAACTTAGGACTGCTGCCCCAGCGTGATCTGCATAGGGAAAACCTGCTCTTCCTACCATCCTCCGCATCCATCTGGGCTTCTGCTTTGCATGTGCCTTACACAGTTCCTATTTCTAGTTTCTCTTCTTTTATTGCTTATGATTTATATTTGTCAGTAACTATAATTTACTGAATGCTTTCTGTATGCAGACACTGATCACCCATTATTTTATTTAGTTCTCAACAATCTTAGTTTCTATTACCTCCATTTGATAAATGAGAAAACTAAAGCACAGAGAAGTTAAGAAATATGCCTAAGGTTAAATGAATTCTGGAGCTGAGTCAAATTAACTACAAAAAATTGGTCCCTAAATGAAATAACCAGGACTCCCCTTGACTTTATGGCAAATTTGTATCTACAGAACCAAGTGCAGTTCTCTTGAACAAAGCAGTGTTGGGAAGTAAATGTCTGAAATTAAGGAAATTATTATAGTCTCTTTTTGGAAAATCAAAATTTCAGAAATGAAAGAGACCTCAAAGATGTAGTCACATTCACCAATCCTTTTTGCAGATATGGAAACTAAGGCCAAAAAACTGAACTGTGACTCACCCAAAATCAGAAAGCTAGTTAGCAGAGATAGGAACTGAACCCAGGCTTCATGATTTCCTAGATCTTTACATTGTCCCACCATTTCATTCACTCAACAAATACCCAAATGCCCATACAATTGCAAACTCTGGTCATTAGAGACTAGTCAACCCCCAGATGTTAATCACTGAGCATTTAAAGGAATATGCCCTCAAGGAGCTTATGATCTAACTCATGTGGTCCAGTCACCTTTCCTACCTCATTTTTTGACATGGGAAAAATTATTGCTGAGTGGAAGGAAAACAAGTATGTCCTGGTTGTGAAAAGCAAGCTGAAGCACACACTCTGAGAACACACATAGGAGCCAGGATCAATACCTGTCTTTGTTAATTTGACTGAAACAATGAACAACTATGGAAAATGGGCTGTCATAGTAACAGCAGGGGAACCTGAAATTGGTGATTCAAGTCTTACTTTTTCTACTGGTGGGACCTTCGGAAAACTGGCTCCCTTCTTTAAATCTATCCATGTAATGGGCTACACAGCAAGATAAAGCAAACTCACATGCTTACAGAGGCCAGACAATTCTATGGATGAGCTTAATGGAGCTGACAGAGACAACAGTAAGCTAGAGGACCCACACTTTATAAGAGATATCTTCTGCTTAGTCCCAAGCAATATGAGATCTCAGGCCTTTTTTTTCCAAGACAGAAATCAGAAACTATGTGAAATTACCAGATTTGGGTTTATGTGTGTAAGGAGAAGAGACAGATGTATTGCCCTCCTCAAATTCACATGAAGAAAAAAAAAATTCCCAAACATTAAGTAAAAATAGGAGAAAAAAAAGCATTTTGCTATATTTGCAATAATCATACACCTCTATCACAGTATTTCCTACCTTTAGCGTGTATGTCTAAAATTATGACCTTTATAATCATAACAAATCACATCTAGAACAATCCCTGGGTCTCCCTGGTGGCACAAGGGGTTAAAGACAGTGCTATGAAGCTAGCACCAGTCATTGCAGCAGGAGCTGACTGACCCCACTGTTCCCCTCAGCAGTGTGTTTTTTTTTTTTAAGATTTATTTATTTATGCATACAGAACTGGGGTACAGGCCAGTGATGTGGAGGGTGAGAGGACTCACCAGAGAGTAGGGAGTGGAACAGGCAAAGCGATGAAGTACACCGCTGAGGGGAGCAGCAAGCAGGCCAGGTCTGCCACACCATGTGGGTCACCTCTGGGGCTGGGGATGGCAGTGAAGCGGCTACCACTAGCTTGCAGTGCTGTGCTTTAACCCACTGCACCACCAGCGAGGGCCCTTTTTTTTTTTTTTTTAAGAACTAGGGTACAGGCCAAAGAGTGTAGGAGTGGTGAGACGCCTCACCAGAGACAGAGTGGGGAGCCGGATAGACAAATCAACAAAGTACACTGCTGAGGGGAGCAGTGGGCGAGACAGGAGGGGTCTGCTGTTCCATGTGAGCCCGGGATCAAACTCTGAACACTGAAGCGGCAGCAGCTAGCTTGCAGAATTGTGTCCTAACCCGTAGCACCATCAGTGTGTTTCAATCTACCTGTCCTGCTCCCCCGTATCTGGTGAATCCTCTCACCCACCCACCCCCACATTTGACCTGTACCCCAGTTCTTGTATGCATAAATAAACCTTTAAAAAAGGAGAGAAAATAAGCCCTAAGTAACATCTAATAGAACCGTGCATTCCGACATCCCCTAAGACACCTAAAAGATAGTTTATAAAATGTGTTCTTTTGACCCAGGATCCAGTCAGGGCTCATATGCTGCTTCAGGATCCCCTTCTGTACTCTTTTAATCTATATTTGTTTTCTCCACATTAACTTTTGGGAAAGAACCAGTGTAGTTGTCTTATAAAATGACCCAACATTCTGCACAGTTTATCATTCCTTCACTGGTGTCCTTTAATTTGTTCCTGTTCTCTAAACATGCTTGGGGTAAAGTAGGCAGGAAAACTTCAAAGATGATGCACTTAAGTTCCTACTGCACCACGCTGGGAGGCATATTCTTTATAATCACCTCTTTGAGTATTTGCTTGAGTTTATGAATTCCAAGTTATTGTTGGGGGAATTCCAAGTTCTTAAATATTTCTAAATGAAGCTTTCTGGTGCTCAAATTGTTCCAAAGTTGGCCAGTTTTAGGGGTTGGCAATTAATTCCAAAAAGTTTAAAAAACACTGCATAGAAGAACAGCCCAGTTTGTAACCTCTAGATGCAGAAGTTCCCTTGAAGGCCCTTTTATTGTTATTACTCCCTCCCAGTTCTGACAATCTAGTCCAACATCACAGTCAGAGACAAAAAAAAAATGGTTGCCAGCCACAGTTCTCTGCCAATCTGCTGGCTGCCCTCCCCTTCACAAAGGAACCATAGTTCTTGGTAATCTTCCTTACCCTACCTGAAGCTCCCTTAGAGGAGCTATAACAATAAAAACACATCTCAATAAAAACTAAAATGAAATTCAACACTGACTTAGCAAATCCTATCCTCACTACCTTTAAAATATATCCAGAATATATTTGACCACTTATGTCTCCAGTGGGTTATTGCAAGTCTCCTCACTAGAACTCTTTCCACTTCTGCCCAACTTCACCCTATTGCCCACAAGCAAGAATGTGCCTTTAAAACACAGATCAGAACATGTTACCCCCACGCTCCAACATGGGCTTTCCCAGCACATTTAGAATGTAAGTTAGTGAAGTGGGCCCTCCCTGGGGCGCAGCGGGTTAAAGCACAACACCAAGAAGCTAAAGCCACTTCTGCATGAGTTCAATCCCTGCCCCCTGCCCAGGAGGTGACCCACAAGATGCAGCAGACCTCTCCTGCTCCGCCCCCTGCTCCCCTCAGCAGTGTACTTCGTCAGTCTGCCTGTTCTGCTCACCACTCTTGTCTTTGATGAATCCTCTCACCATCCCTGCACCTCTGGCTTGTACCCCAGTTCTGTATGCATAAATAAATAAATTTTTAAAAAAAAGTTAGTGAAGTCATTCGTCTCCACCCATCCTTTCTCTAATTTATAAAGCAGACTCTGGTCTCCAGGATTATTCACTTGGCTCTTCTTTGTGCTAGGAAGTTTCTTCCAGGTGGTAACCTGGTTCTTTTCTCTTCAAAGAGGTCTAAGGCGCCAAGTATGCCCTCAGAGGCTTTCTCTGGCCTCCATATCACAGTAGCTCTACCCCTCACCATCCTCTATAATGATGATCTTAACCTGCTTTATTTTTCTCCCTGGCATCTGCATAACATACTGTTTCTTGCTGCTTCTTGTCTTCCCCAGGAGAATGTAAGCTCCCTACGGGCAAGGAGTCTGTTAGTTCACAGGTATTACATGCTCAAGGCCTAGAAAAGCATTAAGGCTGGTGTTCAGTAAACACAGGGTGAAAGCCCATCGCCTCTTTCAAGGAGCCCGTCTCGACAGCAACTATTCAAGGTTGAGTGCGCGCCTCCCGAAACACACCCCCACACAGGAGACCAGCAGCCTCTTCAGGAGCTCCCCGCCCCCAGCCTCTCAGACTAGTACTTGAAATAACTTGCTCCACAACCACTCCAAAGCCTTCATTCTTTCAGAGTGGCCCACCCCTCAGGAGCCACCAGTATGGAAGCTCGCCGTCAGCCAGGTTCGCCGGTCTCCCCACGTCCAGCACAGGGGACGCTCCCACTATCTCGGAATGAATGAACTACGCCCCCCCCCCATGCTCTCCACGCATCCCCAAGCCACTACCGCCGACCGACACCCCACCGCCACTCCTCGCAGGCGTCCGACTCCCGGAGTTGGCGTCTTCCCGACTCCTCAGGACCCTCGCGCCCCTCCCCCTTCCCAGAGCCCTCCAACCCCTCAAACGACCCTTCCAGCACCCTGGGGCACGTCTCTGCCTCCGAAATCTCCAGAGGCACCACCAACCAACCTCTCCAGCCCTGGGCTCCAGTCCCCCCCCAAACAATACTCCCACCTCTCCTCTTCAAACGAGCCCCTCCGGATCCCTGAGGACGAAAACACCTCAGGCCAGACGCCCCCTGCAGCACCGCAGTCCCACAAGCCGCCCAGGCCCTAACCGTTTCTGAGCCTCCAATCCCCACAGACGGATCTGCCGGTCATATTGCGCCGCCTCCTCCTCACTGATGCCGCCGCCAGCCTCCTCCTTCTCCACCATGGCGCCGGCTCTCGCAATCCCCGCTCGGATCCCGCTCAGCCAACCGAACTGCCGCCGAGTGCGCCGCCAACCGCCGCCAGACCGGCGTCCTGAGCCGCGTCTGCGCCTGCGCCAGGGTCTGCGCTTGCGCAGTTCTCTCCCTGAGACCCCCCGCCAGTCCGAGCAGCCTGGGACCTCGTGGACCTCCCGAGCCTCCAAGGCGGGCTGATTACTGATGGTCACGTGACAGTGACGCCAGCCAATCGTGGCCCGGCTTGTGGCTTGTAGGTGATGTTCAAATAGGACTGTGGGAGGCTAATTTTTTAACTTTTTTTTTTTGCTTGTTTATACACACAAAAACTGAGGTGTAAGCCAGAGGTGGGGGCGGTGAGAGAACACACCAGAGACAGATTGAGGTGCATAACAGGCGGATGTACTGAAATACACTACTGAGGGGCTCAGAATCTGTGTGGTGCGCCATGTGGATCAGCTCCCTGGGAGTTCCCAGTTGTAAATTTTAAACTCCTTGGTTTATCTAAAGCCTAAAAGTCTGGACCTCGGGAAGGGGTTACAGGCCCAGCGCTTTCAAGCTATTGTCAGCCGCTGCAGCATGAGTTTGATCTGAGCCAGAGAGCTTACCCACAGGGTGCTGCAGACATCTCCTGTCTCCCCCCTGCTCCCCTCAGCAGTGTACTGCGTAGATCTGCCTGTTCTGCTCCCCACTCTGTCTCTGGTGAATCCTCTCACCCCTTACCACCTCTGGCCTACACCTCAGTTCCTCTATGGGGAAAAAAAAATTTTTTAAACAGTTAAAACATTAGTGCACCGTTATGATGTCTTAAAGTTTCTTTGGAGTAGGAATTCAGGAGCAGATTGCCATACAGTTCAGTTCTCACAGGAGGCTGTTCATGATGTCACCTGGGCTAGCAAGTTTATGTTGGTGGATGGGTCCAGACCCTAACCCAAACTGATACCACTAGCCGTGCCACTGTGTTGTATAATGTTGTTTGTAATTATGCCAATGAAAAGGGTTTGTCCAATATTCACCATAGATATGGTGATTAAAAACTAAAGTGGAAAAAAAAAAAAACAACTAAAGTGGGGCTCTCCCCTGGTGATGCAAAGGGTTAAAGCACAGCACTATGAAGTGCTCTGAAGACACTTCAGCACTAGTTCTGTTAGAGGACAGGGAGCGAGGGGCCTCACTAAACCCCCAAACTTGCCTGTTCTAAATGGGTTCTGCCATCCGCTGCATCAAGACAAAACATATAATACTTTCGTGAAATGGAACTTTAATACAGCGAGTATGCAATACAGAAGGCAAAGAATGTAATTTCTAAATCAAGCACCTGAAGTGACCCATCCCCTCGTGGGCAAAAGTCAACCCAAAAGGGGTTGGCCCAGAGCAAGGCCTGAAAGCTGCCAGTAGACTAAAGCACCTTCTGGCCGGGACCCATGGAAAAGGGTCAGAAATGGCCAGACAAATCTGGGAGGAAAAGAACACAATCAAAATCAATGTAAACACGGCCATAGTCACCTCCCTGCAGGTATCTCACGCACATTTGCCTTAACCAGTCCAGGGCCAGGAAACAAGCACGGTTTCTTCATCACATGCTTGCTGCTCCATGTGGCTTCCTCAGGTCTCTTTCTGGCTCTCCATCCTGCTTCCTTCTTTTCTTGACTCCGGCTCTTCTCTTCTTTTCTCTGCTCAGCTCCACCCTCCTTCTAGGTGGGGGAGGGACCCTAGAACTTCCCCTTTTCCTAGGGACCACCCTGTTACAGTTTGATCCCCAGCCAGGGAGGAAACCCTCTTGACATACCAGACCTATCCTGACCTGCCCTGTGCTTCCCCTCAGCAGTGTATTTCAGTACATCTGCCTGTTCTCCCATTCTCTGGCGACTCTTCTCACTGTCCCTCCCCACATCTGGCCTGCACCCCAAGCCCCAATTCTTGGACACATAAAAAGTAAATAAATCTTAAAAAAAAAAAAAAAGCAAGAAAGTTCTGTGGGAGAGAGGAGGGACATATAGGCCTTTGACTTAGTGTAGGGACTGGGAAAGGACATGCTAGGACTTTTTTTTCAAGATTTATTTATTTATTCATACAGAACTGGGGTTCAAACCAGAGGTGCAGAGACTGAGAGGATTCACCAGAGACATAGTGGGGAGCAGAACAGGCAGATTGACTAAGTACATTGTTGAGGGGAGCAGCGGGCAGGTCAGGAGAGGTCTGCCACACTATATGGTCACCTCCTGGACTAGGGGATCTCACTGAAGTGGTTGAGGCCAGCTTGCAGTGTGCTTTCTAACCTGTTGCACCACCAGGGAGGGCCTATAAATAAATTTTTTAAAGAAAAAAAAATGAACAAAGTAGAGGGAGAACCCCAGGAGGAGAGGATGGCAGCTTCCAAGAGCCATTATTCTGTCTGACTTTCCCTGGAAGTGTCTGCCTGGCCCTCACCCTCTCAACCCTAGACACTGTAGAAAGTTTAAAACTTTTCCAGAAATCCTTTGATATTTTTAACTGATATTGAGGGTGGGATGAGGGGATCAATAAGCATAATGGCCATGAAGATTCATTTTTGTGTTCCAGGTGTCAGAATTTCCTTCCTTTCTAAGGCTGAATATATAGTCCATTGTAAGTACACACCACGTCCTATTTATCCATTCATCCTATTAGAGACTTTTAGGTTGCTTCAGTCTACCTTTTGACTAGTGGTTAATGCTGATATGAACAAGGGTGTACAAATACCTGAGACCCCTTTCTCCATTTTCTTGGCTCACATCCCTGGGGCTGTGCGCTTTTGGGCAACAGCTAATGAGAACAGCTGCCCAAACCAAGACTTTGTCACTGCCACAGGATGGAGAGTAGGCATTCAGTGACTCAGGTTCCTGGCTCCCAGGATTACATAATTACTCCCCCCAGGTGACTGCTCCCAGGCAGTGGTTCTCAATCCCACCTGCCCATTAAGAATTATCTGGGGAGATTTGCTGTGAATACAATGCCCAGGCCCCACCTTCAGAGACTCTAATTAATTGGTCCGGGGTAGAGCTGAGACTTTGGGGGTTTTACATAATACTCCCCAGGTGATTTTAAAAGGTGGTTAGGGTAAAGATCCATGAAACAAAGATCAGTATGCTGCTTCATTCTAGCATTCTAGTTACAATTACTTCCCTGCTCTTCCTTTTAAGCCACATGACCCTTAAGTCGAAAAGACACTGAATTGTGCTCTGGGTAACTTCGGTCACTCTGTACAGCTTTTTTTTCTGTTTTTTTTGTTTTTTTTTCAGATTTATTTATTTAAAGATAACTTGGGTATAGGTCAGAGGTGTGTCGGGAATGAGAGGATTCACCAGAGAGAGTGGGGAGCAGAACAGGAGCATCTACTGAAAATACACTGAGGGGAGCAGTGGGGAGACAGGAGAGGCCTGTTATGCCATATGTGGGTCACTCCCTGGCGGGTGGGGTGACTGCGCTGAGATTTAACCCCTAGGCCACCAGGGAGGCCCTCTGTACAGCTTTCAGTCACATTTTCTAAGTCATTCTGCCGACATGGATGACTGGTAGCGCTGATGGACATTGTGATAAATGGGAATTTAGAAATTAATGTGATCCAATAAAAGTATAATTACCCACAGTAAAACAGATTTTACTGTATGTGTGGGTTTTTACTGTAGAAGGTATTATGGGTGGAAATATGTGCCCCTAAAAAGAATACAGGGTTGGTCCTTTACCAAAATATCCTTTCAGTGTGTGACTATAGGTAGAACTGGTGGGTGGCTACTCACAAAAAGGAATATTTGTCTTTATTCATTGTGATAGCTGCAAGGCAGTAGAGTGGAGTTATTAGGATTTCTTATTGCCTTGTTCAAATCCCAGTGTAATCCTACCAACATTCTACAAAATTCAGTGCTTTAAAAAAATTTTTTTTTATTTATTTAGACATATAAGAACAGGGGTGCAGGCCAGAGGTATGGGGAATGAAAGGACTCACAAGGGACAGTGTAAGGAGCAGAACAGGCAGATTGATTGAAATACACTGTGGGAGGGGACAGGAAAGGTCTGCTGGGCCCTGTGGGTCAGCTCCCTGGTGAGGGACTGAACTCCTCCTGCTGAGGTGGCTGCCCATAGCTTCATAGTGCTGAGACTTAACCCCTATGCCACCAGGGATTCCCTCCAACAGTCATCTGGGTAAGTGTCAAGATTGTGAAAGGGGGCCTTCTGTGGCACAAGGGGTTAAAATTGAGCCATAAGAAGCCCTGCCAGCAACCACAGCAGCAGGAGCTCAATCCCACCCAGGTAGCTGACCCACATGACTCAGCAGACCTCTCCTGTCTCCCCACTGCTCCCCTCAGCAATGTTCTTCAGTCAGTCTGCCTATTCTGCTCCCCACTCTGACTCTGATAAACTCTGTCACCCCCTGCACCTCTGGCCTGTATCCCAGTTCTTGTATGCTAAATAAATACATCTTTAAATAAATAAATAATAAAATTAACCATTCTAAAATGAACAGCTCAGTGGCACCTAGCACATTGACTATGTTGTGAAAACACAACCTCAATGTAATGCCAAAGTGCTTTTTATTACCCAAAGGCAGCAGAAGATATTTGCAGATTCTCAAGTTTTCCATGATTTTCAGCACACAATTCCAAAAGAACTAGAGAAGTTTAGCCATAAAACTTAATATCCTTGAGTGTAAATCATTCTGTCCATTACTTAAGAACAGCAATTAACTTCATTCATTTGCTGATCGTCACCCATATCATATTGCAGGACATTCTATGGTCCCTATTCCCTGTCCCTTAATGCCAGTAATAACCTCCTTATTATTGTGATGCTCAAAAAAGTCCCTGCAAATTTCCATAACGTCCCCAAGGAAGCAATGCTCTCCCCTTGAGAACCTGTTCACAACCTCAAAACACTCGTTAATTTACTTCAATAATTTCCAAAATATCCTCTAGGGGGCGCCATCATCTCCTTGAGAACCAAGTAGATGTCAATGATCCTCTTCTACCTTGGACTTCATTCTTCTACCCTGTCTCCAATAAATCTGGGGTTGGATCAGCAAGGGGAGATGCTATTGCGAGGGCAGTCAGTAGGATTCAATACACAATAATGCCTCTTTCTATCCAATGTTTTCCTCCATTCTTCTCCAGGTGCTTCCAGGTGTTGGAGCCACTGCTGGTA